CTTTGATTCTAAATCCTACAGATGAAAAGCTTAAAGAATCTATAAAGTTGCTAAAAACACAATTTAACATGTTGATGGCTGATCAAACCGCAACTAACTTATTGTTTATGAAACAAAATACATTTTGTAATGCTAATAAACCAGGGAGATGGCTGGCTTATCAATTAAGAAAGAAACAGAGACAGAGAATTATAGATAAAATAAATTATAATGGTAAATTAGTGTATCAGAAGGAGTTGATCAAGAAATCTTTTCTAGATTATTATCAAAAATTATATAAGAGTACCAATGTACAAATTTTAGATATAAATAATTATCTAAGTGAGGCTAATTTCCCTAAACTAACAGAAGATCAGAAACAAGAAATTAATGGTTTAATTACCAATGAGGAAATTGTGACAGTTATTAAGCAATTAAAATTAGGTAAAGCGCCGGGTACGGATGGTTTGACATCCATATATTATAAAACTTTAGTAGAAGAGATGATTCAACCTTTATGTGAGCTTTTAAATAATATATTACAGGGCTCAGAGATTCCTCCGTCATGGCGTAGTGCTTTTATATCCTTGATTCCAAAAGAGGATCAAGATCTTACTTTACCAAAGAATTATAGGCCTATATCTCTCTTAAATGTAGATTATAAGATTTTTGCAAAAATTTTAGCGAATAGGCTTATGAGGGTTTTGCATCAGCTTATACATAAGGATCAATCGGGTTTTATAATTGGTAGGTATATGAAAAATAATGCTAGACAAATTATCAATTTATTAGAATATTTAGATAAGAATAACCAAATCTCTGCAGGGCTGATATTTTTAGATGCTGAAAAAGCTTTTGATCAATTGAATTGGCAGTTTATGTTAAGAGTAATTGAGGAGATGAATTTTGGAGAAAAAATATTACAAGCTTTTGGTGCTATATATCAAAAACAAACGGCACAACTTATTGTTAATGGGGGTGTGTCAGAGGTTTTTACAATAGAAAAAAGTACAAGACAGGGATGTCCATTGTCACCGTTACTGTTTGTTCTAACATTGGAAATTTTGTTGATTAAAATTCGACAGTCGCAGGAAATAAAAGGAATAGAAGTTAACAAAAAAGAATATAAGTTAAGAGCTTTTGCAGATGACTTGGTGGTTACTTTGTCTCAACCTACCTATTCTGTAGTAAAGTTACTACAACTGATTTACCAATATGGACGGGTTTCGGGTTTTAAAATTAATAATAATAAGACTAAAATATTATCTAAAAATATGACTAACCTGGACAAGCAGATTTTGGTTAATCTGACAGATTTTGAAGTTGTTGATAAGATAAAATATTTGGGGGTTACTTTATCTGTTTCTAATGTAAAATTGTATAAAAATAATTATGAAAGGCTGTGGGTCAGGGTACAGAAAGACTTGAAGAATTGGGAGAAGTTACAGTTATCTCTTATGGGAAGAATTGCAGTGATTAAAATGAATGTCCTACCAAAATTTCTTTTTTTGTTTCAAATGCTACCTATTTTAAAGAATGAGGTTAATTTAAATGAATGGCAGAAAGGCATTAATAAATTTATTTGGGCAGGGAAAAAACCAAGGGTAAAGCTTAAAATTATGCAAGACTTCCGTGAGAGAGGTGGACTCAAGGTACCGAATTTGAAATTATATTATGATGCTGTGGTTTTAACATTAATTAGTGATTGGGTAAATTTAACAAATGTAGAAATACTCCATCTGGAGGGTTGGGATTTACTTTTTGGATGGCATGCCTATTTAATTTTTAATAAAAAAGTGGATCGGGTTTTTAAATCTCATATTATAAGGATTTCTCTACTTCAGGTTTGGAGGAAATATTATAAAAGTGATTTTAAAATACCATTATGGGCTATACCTTGGCATGCGATAGAGGGGATAAGGAAAGGAGTTAAAATGGATAGGGTCTCTTATACACAACTACTTAGATGGGATGGTCAAAATTGGCAGTTAAAATCTTTGGAAGATTTACTACATGAAAATATTACCTATTCATGGTTTCAATACAGACAAATACTGGATAGATGGAAGATGGATCGTAATATGGGCTTGCTTAGAGAAGATGAAAATCTTTTTAAACAAGTAAAGGATCAAAAGCGAACTCACATTAAGAGAATTTATGGGGTTCTAGTGGAACTGGATTCAGAATCAGAACTAATTAAAGACTGTATGATTAAATGGGCACAAAATTTTGGTGAACCAGTTCTACTGGATACCTGGGAAATTATCTGGGTGAGGAATGTCAAATTTACACAAGCCCAGAATTTAAGGGAGAATTTTTATAAAATGTTTTATAGATGGCACCTTGATCCACAAAAAATGTCTCTTATGTATCCTGACTTACAGCCTAAATGTTGGAGATGTGGTTGCCTGGATGCCACTTATTATCATATTTGGTGGTCGTTTAAAAATATAAAAGCTTTTTGGATTAAGATATGGTGGAATATTCAAAGAATTTTTAGAAAGAGGGTAAAATTTACTCCACAATTGTTTTTGTTAGGTATTGTTACTGATTGTGATGCCAAGGAGGTTATATTGATGTTAAATTTGATTACAGCCGCAAGGTTGTTAGTAGGGCAATACTGGAAGAAGGAATCTTTGCCTACCTTGCAAGAGTGGTTTTTCAAAGTTTCTTATCTGGCGGAAATGGCAAAGATTTCGGCTCTCTTAAAGGAGCAATCGCAAGAGAAATTTTTTGCCGTATGGGAAAAATGGATAAATTTCACACAATACAAATTGGATATAAAAAATATCATTTAGCTTTTTTATAACTTGTATATAAATTTTGATATTTTATAGATTGCACTTTTTCTTTTTTTATCTCTTTTCTTCTTTCTTCTTTCTTTTTTTTAACCACTTTTTTATGCTTATGCTTTTTTTGTTATATATATTTTATTGTTAATCATTTTATAAGTTGTTTAATTTTTTTAGGATTTTTAAAATTTTAATTAAGCCTATATTCAGCTCTGGGAAGCTCGGGGGGGATGGAGGGGGTGGTTTGGGAGGGGTTGGGTGAGAGTTGTTTTGTTTTTTATTGTTGTCTTTTTGTTCTTTGTAAAAATCTTTAAAAAATTTTCAATAAAAAAAAATAAGATTGATTTTGGTGGGTGAGTGCATGAAACTTCATTTGCACATGTGTGGGATCCAGGTTGTGTGCATGAAACCATCCCCTTCCCCCGCCACTGCCAGTACATGGAAACAGAAAGGTTGGGGATGGCGGGTCTAGATGATAACCAAGAAACTATCAAAAAATAGAAGCCACTATTCCTAGTTACAGGAAAAAAGCAGCCAAGAAAAGAAATGTACACACGGATTCAGACAATCAAGGTTTACTTTTTAAATCTGTATTTGGAGGAACAATAGAATCCAAGGTTACAAAGATCAGAATTGGTTTACAGCGTGAAATTTGCCCTCTGTCCAATGACTGTCACCTTCTATTAAACCCACAACATGCTAATGAAGTTAGAAACAAAAGCTTATGTTTTGTCTTGTAACATACTCTCTTTAACAGTTCTCAGTTCACTTCTGTCTGTTGAGGCTTGGCATACATGAACTCTCAGAAGGTAGCCTTCGCAACTAAGAACGGATAGCTACAACCCACCAGTAAACAGAGTTTGCCCTGGTCTCATGTCAGTCACTCCAAGAGCTGTGCTACAGTTGCTTCCGGGATTGTACTCAGGATCTCCATCTAAGTGTCCAACATTGAATTACACTTGGGTGTCTAATTCTGACACTAATAAAGTCAAGTGCAAGTTCTTCTATCAGTGTCAGTAAATAAATGGCTGGTTCTATCTGCTTTGGCACCATTAAAGACCACTTCCTGGATAAAGCCATTATTCTCTTTAAGTATGGCCAAATTTTGTCATGTAATATGCAAAATGCGCAGCAATTGGACTGATCTGCTTACTCATCCATTCACCCAATCAATCAATGAATCAATCACTATTATTTTATGTATGCAATGATTTTATGATCATTGATCATAACAAAGAATCCATCCATCCATTTTATATTCTTTCTGCAATGAATTTTTGGCCTAATTGAAGCATTCTTTATCTACTGCCATTTGATGCCTCTCACGGGCAGTTCTGGGCCCTGAAGCGCTGCATGGGCAGCTGTTCTGAGGGCAACATTTCAGCTGTTTGAGTGGTGTTGATATTTTATAGCATCACAAGCTTATTTGACTGCATTAAGACCATAGAAACCTGTACAAGTCCATCTAACTCCCCCCCCAACTCTAGTGCAGGGCTTTTCAACCAGTGGTATGGGTACCACCTGTGGTACATTGGCACCTGACAGATGGTACACGACCATCCTAGAAAAGTGGTAGCGGGGGAGGGGAATGAGCTGAACCGGGGGCAGCACCGCACAAGCCTGAGCGAGAGATGGCTGGAGCTGCAGGGCTGTCAGGGCTCAGCGGAAGCCCCAGGATCAGTGCCGCTTTCCAACTGATTGGCGCTTCTTCAGGACTGTCAGGGCTCAGCGGAAGCGTCAGGATCAGCACTTCTTTGGGACTGTCAGGGCTCAGTGGAAGCGCCAGGATCAGCGCCAGACTCCAGCTGGAGCTCGGCATTGATCCTGGCGCTTCCGCTGAGCCCAGAAGAAGCGCCGATCAGCTGGAATGTTGCAGCATCTCCAGGGTCTTGTGATTTACATTCAGATGCTTGGCAACTGATTCATATTTATGACGGTCACAGTGTCCCAGGGTCATGTGAAGTGAACAAAATCTGCTGCAACCACCCAGCAGACGGGGGGAATAAAAACCAAACACTGCCCACCCCACCTCCACTGCCAATCCTCAACAGAAATGCTCGCAACAATGAAAACCTCGGACAGGAGGAAGAGTGCTGCCGGGCGGGCAGGCAGGTGTCTTGCTCGGCTGTGCCTTGGGGGGCACTTTTTTCAGTGCCATTGTAACTTCAAACAGTCACTAAGCGAACTGTTGTAAGTCGAGGACTACCTGTACTTTTATCACTTTTTTCCTTTTTTTTTTTTTGGTCATCAAGTTTTTGACCCCTTGCTAGGCACTGGTGGTCCTCGGATGTTGCCATATCCTAAAAGTGGTACAATGGGTGAAAAGGTTGAAAAACCCTGCTCTAGTGCACAGCCATTTGGGTGATCTCATCTAAGAATAATCTATGTATGCAAAGATTTAATTAAAAATATACACAAGCAGATTAACAAATGTAACTTTTTAAAAAAGTGCCACAATTTTTACAGAATTATTTCTGGCTTCAGCTAAGCTAAAAAAACAAAGCCTATTGCCCCACCCCACCCTACCAGGCTCTCTAAACAAGGACGGACGTCTGATGCCTTCAGCCCCTCTGCTCTGAGCCCCTCCACACTGTCAATGCAAAAGCTGAGGGAGAAGCCGTCTGCTCCCGCTAGAAATGAAAGCCACATTACACAGAAAGATGGGCGCTTGGTTCTCCCTTGCATCCCTCCCTGGTAAACACCCCAAGAGGGGCTCCTTTCCAGCAAGGGAGACAAAGCCCCTGCCCTCCCCCGGGCACAGCCGGACCCTTCTCCCTCCACCTATGCTGCACAGTGAGGGAAACAGAAATGCTACACAACCTTTAGCCTCCCAATCCTTGTGTACAGCTCAGATTGAGGTTGTGCTGTAAAAACGCCCTCTCTGGTAAAAACGGTTTGCCTCCACCTGCCGAGGAGCTGTGTGCATCAACAGCCTTTAGCGCATGGGTGTGAATCACTCCACGTCACATGACGTCGTATCGTGACTTTTTTTGCATTGCCAGAGCTGGGGTTGGCGCAGCCTCCGTATGATGCAACTAGCCCGTGTGCCCTCAGTTTGACTCCCCTGCTTTAGTGCGATCAAATGGGAGCAGAATTAGTGCATGCCCCCCCCCCAGTGCAAATCATGCAACCAACGGGCTCTTCCCCACAAGAGAAATTCCCTCCCCTCTGGAGAAAACCCGGCTGGCTGCTCCACTCAGCAGGCCAGGAAATACATCTGTACAATCGGATTTCATTGCTTTTCAAATGCCTTCCTTGGTTAGCCCCACCGGCCCTCCGTCCCAACAGCAGGGCAGGATGCAGAGGAAGGCCCGTGGGCTCCCAGAGCAAGGGGGTGACATGTCCAACTACGTCAGAAATCTCTTCCCCCACTTTAAATAACATTCTTTGGTACTAATACTACAAACACATTCTTTCTGTCAAAACTGCAACAAGTGAACACAGAAGCAGCTCAAGCTTTTACGTGGTGCTTCAGACAAAAGAGAATTCAGAGTTCCAGTAAAATTAAGGGACAGGATTGGAAAAAAAGTGTTCCAGAAGAAAACAGAAAAACACAGATATAGGCATCTTTAACTACAGAAAATCTAAGATTCTTAAGCACATACATCCCACATGAAAAATAAAATGCAATAAATCCCAAATCTGTGATGCACAGCCGTTGTCATCAGAATCGTGATGTTGTCTAGGGTCAAATGCTCAGGTCCCTTCTTTGTGCAACGGGAGCGCACCTTTCCTTCAATCCACGGCCGTCTTCTTTTTTCCCAGCTGCCAAAGGTTCAAGGCCAAGCGCGCCCCAGGGGGAGCTCATCGGGGCAAAGGAGCAGGCGGCAGCAGCCGGTGCGGAAAGGCCATCGTCCATCCAGCGGCCCCTTGCTTGTCAGTCCTTTTATAGTCCTGTGCATTTTCAGAGTGATTGAGGTCTGGCAAATGACTTCTCGTATCATAAAAGGCAATTTTCATACGGCAGAATAGAACGTCCTCAAGCCTAAGTACACTTTTAAAAATGCGTGATAATTTTGATGCATAAGATGCATAGTACTAAAAATATGGACTGAGGACTATGTAAATGCTTTTTCCCCCTTTTCCCTTGTACTGCCGCAGCAGTAGTCCACTGAAAATAAACCGAAGAAAGTAAATATTTAACTCCTGGCCACCACTCATCCATTCTCCAATATTTACATGACATTCATTAAAAAGGATTGAAAGGATCTTCCAGAAATGGTCAGAAGACCAAGCTTCTCCTGGACCCGATGCGCATCGGAAGATTGCTTGATGCCGAAGAGACAGATGAGAAATCATGACAGGTTACAGCAACCATAACTGAGTAATCCTGGGGCACCTGAAGAACTAGCAAGTTCGCTGTGGTATCAAAAACAGGAAGCAACCATGCTAGATTGCAAAGGTCTACCAGGTGGCACTTTGGTTGCATGTGGATTTTGAAGATGGCAGAGGAGGAACTCTTTGCCATTTTGCAACAGCTGAGCATGAAGGATGCATGTTGCCCTTGAATTTCAAGATTTTCAGAAGATTTGAGTATGGAGGAAAGTTCCCTGAAACCAAGCACAGCATGCATGCACAATGGAAAGCCACGGACACAGCTCCCCACAGCTAGCTCTGTGGAAGGCACATCACAAGTACAATGCAGTGGAGGGAAGTTGAATCTGATCTGAACCATTTGGGTTCGTCAAATACAGAAGTGCTTTTAGCATTTCTGCCCAACTTTTGATGGCCTTGTCTTCACTCATTTATAAGGGCGCCTGAGGCAATATTTCTAAAATGAATAATGAACTTAGATTAAGTCTACAGGGAAAGATGGTTAAGAGTGCAATTCATCTGGTTTGCTGTATGTGGGAGGAGGAGGTTTTCAGACCAAGCACCCAAAATGTAGATTCTTGTCTTAAAAAAGAGCTTCATTGTATTTTTTAAAAAAAATCTCTTGAGATAGCATGAACAAGGTTCAGGAAAGCCCAAACATCCATAGCATTGTCACTGTTGCTCTAAGGAATGAGAGAAGGAGAGAGGAACCTCTATACAGAAACCGAAGCGTATCTCAATGGTATTTCTAATTATTGTTAACAATCCAAAAATTATAATGCAGGTCAAAAATAAATTTACTTTAGCAATGCAATGGACAGCATCACTCCAAAGCATCAGCTAATTCAATGTATTGCTGTTTTATAGTTCTTGTTTCTGCAGAGATGAAACCGAACATTGGTCATTTTAACTCTGCGTTGCTACAAATGTAACCTTGTTTTTCCGTTAGCTGAAGCCTGGAGTGTGCAGGATCCATCAAAGACACAAAAATGGCCAGGTAATTAATGAACTTAAGCGTCAGATCAAAATGACCCAAGGTGGGCCAGCTTTAAAATCAGAGCAAGACATCTTGAAATCACAGAAGATGAAGAACTGGGCAGGGCCTGATGAGGGCCAGGCAGTTTTCCAAACGTTTGATCCTAATTCTGTTATTTTCAGTAGCATCACCTTGTGCTAAAAAATGATGCCTAATAGGAAAATAAATCAAGATAATGTTCTCATTACAACCACAGACTTTTCACACATTCACTTAGGGTATCTAAGGACACGTTTTAAATGTTCTTTTCAGCAAAAATGCCCAGGTGTATTTTTTTTTTCTGAAAAACAAAACAAAAAATTCACCTAGATGGCTTCTTTGAATCTTTGGATTCCAGCTCATGGGATTTCATGGTAAGTGATATCACAGTACAGCTGGATTAGAAAAAGGGACTTTATTTTCCATTAAAAATGAGGTATAATTTTGAGAGGATGGTTTCCTTATCTGCTTTGATAAGGCCGTTTCTCCTATTGTTCAACAGAAATTGCAGAAAGGAAAAGAGGCTCCACCATTTTTTCCTTGTAGTGTGGTTTAATACATTAGAAGCTCATGTTAAGTTTCAAAAGAAATGTCCTGGGATGGGCTAGGACAATGCTGATGGGTGTTCCCAGGAAGGTTCATGGATTTTATGATTTCTGAGACTGTTCCCTGCCATACAGCAAAAAGCAATTGAGCCAAGAAAGTCTCTAGAAAGTTAAAAGAATAATGTGTGTGTGCGTGCGAGAGAGAGTGTGTGTGTATGTTAGTTCATGAAAAGATAAAAAAGCTCACGACTGGAATGTGTTCACATTCACTGGGCAAATGTTTTTACTTCTGGCTCATGGTCCACAGAAGAAGAAAGATGAAGTAGTACTAGCTGCAAAACAGCCCCATCACTTCTGGGCATTGGGTAAACTTCCAGCCCTTCTTATTCCTCCTGCCCATTCTTGTGGCCGCCAGTACCACTGCATGAACTGGGCTCTCAGTGTTAGGGAACTGCAGCTGCAGCGTCTTCAAAGGGGCCTTCTGCAATAGCCACTGCAACAGCAACACCCAGCTCCTTGTGTCTGTTCAGGAGAGAAGATGAAGCTGAAGGTCTGAGTGCTGGGAACACAATGGCTGTCTGTGGTTTTCTGCTTGAGCAGAAGGTTGGACTAGAAGACCTCCAAGGTCCCTTCCAATCCTGTTATTCTATGCTCTGTGTACATAGTTGGACCAATGATGGGTGTCTTAAGCCTGATTGTATGTGCAAATAAAGCTCTGTCTGAAACTAAAGTCTAGCAGATGCCCACAGATCATCTGTATCAACTACATTCTCTTTGTCTGCTTTGGGGTTTACATCTCTCATTATTTCCAGGTATACTTCAGACCTTTTCTCAAAGAGATGAGTAGCCCAGGTGAAAAAGAAGTTGCAAGGACTGCTAAAACAAACCCAAAATACACCCCCCCCCCCAGCTCGAAAGTCTTCCCTTATCTCAGCATTAATGACCTGCTTGCCATTGGTTAGAAAATAAACAGCAGCAAGAAGAACCACCAGAAAAGCAGCTATGTATGTTTTTGAACCGACACTTCCCTTGGTTGCAGAGGGCCACCAAAGCCACAGTGGGGAATGCACAAGCACAAAAGTGTAAACAGTGCTGCCAGGCACTATGACACAAAACCGGAAGACAAAGTTCACACACACAATGAGCCACTGAAGCTGGCAAATGTCCAGACAGATCTCTCTATGGGAAGGCAGGGAAAAGCAGAGAAGAGAAACCTGAAAGAGGGCACAGCAAAGAGTTCTTTGTGGTTACTGTGCATCTTTGAGGACACACAGTGTGCCAAGGCACTGCAGTGCAGGAGTCGAGAGACGCGAGGAAAGGAGGCCATCTGCTGCTTGCCATCACTGGGCGTGGAAGTAGATGGGTTTCACTTTTCCAGAAAGGATCTTGGGGACCTGCACCGAGATGATCTCAGCCATCATTTCAGGGTAGTCAACGCTCACCATGTGTGACTTCACCAAGAGGTCAAATGTAAACTGATGCAGTTCTCTGGCAATCTAGAGGAGGAAAAGGGAGGTTGTCACACGGAGGCATCCTTGTCTTCCAAGGACTAGTGACTGCACACTCAGAGGGACCTTCTGCCCCGAGGGCTGCCACCTGCACTCAGGAGGACTGGGGAGCCACCGACGGTTCCAAAAGTGAAAAGTGTGTGGTTGCTTCAAAGGGAAGGGGGAAGAATACCCAGAGATCCCTCATATCCCCTTGTCCTGGCTGGACGTGTGTTGTAAGAACATGTTATTCTCCTGAAACCAGAAAATATGCAACATTTTGCAGGGTTTGACTTGTGTTTTGATGGAGCTTCTAGAGCTACACATGGCAAGCAGTGCCCAACATCATCTTCTTCTCATCATCTGAGCCCACCATCAAGGCAAAAGCTCATCTTCAGACAGAAGGGCCAGGCCATTTTGCTCTGTGGCCAAGGGCTGCCCCAGAATGTGGCCCAACATGTTGATGTCCATGGAAGAGGAGTTGCTGCCAGACACCCCGTCTGGTACCTCTCAAAGCTGAAGGGCTTCTACCTGCACCATCTTAACTCAGCATTCCTCCCCCCTCCCCCTCTCAAACTCAGACGGAATTTACTTTTCTTCCCTAAACCCTGCATAAAGCATCTCCCTCCTTACTTCCCCACCATCCCTTCCCCATGCCACTTTCTGAAATATTAACGTGGAATAATTCCAGACATTTTACCCTTGCTTTAAGGCTGAATGCTCCTGCAGCCTCAATATTCAATCTTCTCGTCCCCTCGGTTGCATGGAGCCAGCATCTGGAAGTGCTCCATGTACCCCCTTATAACTGCAGCTAGGGACCCAACAGCACCCCCTGTTCCGATCCACGGAAACTTAAGGGATGGAGTTTCTCCAAGGAGCCTCCCAGACGGGCCCTTGGAAGGTGACTGATGGAGCTTGCTCTGAGCCAAAGAAAAAAGAATGAGGAAGAATTAAGGAGAGGAAGGGAATCTTTTCCCATGCTGCACATGGCTGTTGAGTGGTGGACCAGAAGCCCCAGTCTAGAAAGATAGAACAGTAACTAAACTTTCTTTTAAATTTAATTTATTTAATACTAATATAGCAACAGCCTTGTCTACAATGTTTAAAGATACCTAGAAATGTATGTGTACCCTTTTGGAGCTCTCTAGGGGCTGAGCCCAAGGATTTGGAGGCTGCTTGCAGCTCTGGGGCTTGAGGTGATGTACCTCTGTGCATTGTCCACAAATCTGGAGGGCACACTGACTTGAGAGCTCCTATAAAAGGTGAAGTGATAATTACAATATAATTATTCACCTCCCTGTGGCAAAATCCCTTATGCAAGAAAACAACTGCAAAGTCACCTTGATCTTTTCCAAAACTGACTCTGTGAGATTCTATGACTTATTGGGATTGGTGCTTCCTCTTTTTGAAACCCCTTTTGGTCTGAGCAGGCCTTGCCCTGCACCCCCAAGGTTCTTGGCCGACTCTCCCACTTCTGCACTTACGGGCTGCACAGAGTCCAGGAGCTTTGTGAGCTGATAGAAGCGGCGTGAACAAGATGTGGGGTTCTTCCTTTTGCAGGCAATGATGCGGTCAAGCTCCTTGATATAGTTCATCCGGAGTTCATCAAAGAACTTCTGATTCTTCAGGCCATCCACTGGAACTGACACAAAATAAGAAGAGGAAATAAAAGGGATAGGAGCAGACAAAGGAAACAGCCTAAGAAACATTGAGGGGGCAGTGCCCGCACCTCTTTGGTGGAAGATGAAGGAGTCTCCTCACTTACAAAGGTGCAACCAGCAGCAGGGCAGCTGTCACAGAGAATATAGAACATAGAATAACAGAGTTGGAAGGAACCTGGGAGGTTATCTAATTCAACCCCCTGCACTAGCAGGAGTCCCTATATCTTTCAGTCAAATGACTGTCGTCTCTTCTTAAAAGCCTTCAGTGATAGAACACCCACAACTTCTGAAGGCAACATGTTCCACTGGCTAATTGTTCTCAATGTCAGGAAATTTCTTCTTCTAGGTTGCCTCTCTCCTTGATTTATTTCCATCCATTGCTTCTTGCCCTGCCCTCTGCTGCTTTGGGGAATAGGCTGATGCCGTCTTCTTTGTGGCAGCCCTTCAGATATTGGAAGACTGCTATCATGTCTCCTCTAGTCCTCCTTTTCACTAGACTAGACATATCCAATTCCTGCAACCATCTTCATAGGTTTTAGCCTAATAAAGTTTATTTGGAGGCTGTAGTTTCTTAAAGAAGTTGTGCCCATTAGCACTATGGTCCTCCTCTACTGTGAATCATTTACAGAAACAAACAAAAAAGATGTTGAAACTCTGGAAAAAGTGCAGAGAAGAGCATCAAAGATGATTAGGGGCCTGGAGGCTAAAACACATGAAGAACGGTTGCAGGAACTGGACGTGGCTAGTCTAGTGAAGAGAAGGACCAGGGGAGACATGATAGCAGTGTTCCAATATCTGAGGGGCTGCCACAGAGAGGAGGGGATCAACCTATTTTCCAAGACACCTCAGGGCAGACGAGGACTAATGAATGGAAACTGCTCAAGGAAATATTCAACTTACAAGGAGAAATTTTCTGACAGTGAGAACAATCAGCCAATGGAACAGATTGCCTTCAGAAGTCATGGGTGCTCCTTCACTGGAGGTTTCCAAGAAGAGACTAGACAGCCATTTGTCCAGAATGGTACAGGATTTCCTGCTGGAGCAGGAGGCTGATCTAAAATACCTCCAAGGTCTCTTCCAACCCTGTTATTTTATGTTTTGTTCCAAGTACAAAGGCAGCTAGATGAAAAATGCTACAGCTTACTAATACTGAAGAGGAGCAGAGCCTTCATACAGAGAAATTCTTGAGGAGTAATCTGAAGCCATCCAAATTCTTGGGAGAGATGCCGCATCCTGACACATTGGCTATACATTCTGGATTTGTGCATTCGGTACCTAGGAGAAGAAAAGCATAAACAGGAGAGAATCAGCTTACAACTTCGCCTTTTTTACAAGAACAAATTCCACACATTTTGCTGTTGTACACTATTTGAGAAATTTCTAAATGTTACCATTTCAGTTTTGATGGCAACTTAGCATCTCTTCCTGTTCAATGCAAGTCATCTGAAGTGTTCATCAGTCATATAATGCTGCAAGAAAATGACCCCTCCCTCCACAAAGGTTGTCCACAGGATTAACACTGTTTTTGGGGGGGCAGCATGTCAGGTCCACCATGCTGGTGTCCTGCCATTCTGTCAGAGGAGGGGGGAGGAAGGTTACTGGCATTCTTTGCTGTATCCACTTGGGAATTAGGGAGGGGGGTTGTCTTCGGAGAAGAAACAGACTCATCCTCAGCTGGTTCCAACCTGGTTCCAAGCCGTTGTGCCCTGAGATTGACTTGCTATCTACCCAGCACCTCAGTGTTCTTATAAAACCGTGTGGCATCACATTGCTCCCGGTGGATTGGTTAAGGAGGGGTTGGGTTTGGGGAAGTGAAAGAATTGCTTTGTGCTTTGGGCGGGACCTTCAGATTCCGCCTGACTTTTCTGCATCCACTTTCTCTCAGTAAAAGTTCTTTTGATTAACCTCAATGGAGTCAAGAGTTTTACTCTAAGGGACCAGCTGGGACATGTCCTTAAACATCATCTACTGGGACTCCAAGGTCTCTCTCACAGTTACTGTTTTTGAGCCTAACCTGTACTTGTACCTTTGATTTCTCCTGCTTAGGTGTGAAACCTTGCATTTCTCTGCATTAAATTACATGTTGTTGGTTAAGGCCCATTGCTCAAGTCTGTCAAGATCTTTTTGGATCCTGAGCTTGTCTTCTAGGGTGTTGGCTATTCCTGCTAGCTTAGTGTCATCTGCAAATTTGATGAGTTCCCCCTTGGATTCCCTCATCTAAGTTATTTACAAAGATGTTGAAGAGTACTGGGCCTAAGTCAGAACCCACCGCTTATTTCTCTCCATGTAGATGTCGTTCCATTAAGGACTACATGTTGACTGCAGTTTGTCAGTCAGTTACTAATCCATCTGGTAGTGATGCTGTCTATCCCACATTTTTCTAGCTTGCCAAAAAGTAGGTTGTAGTCTACTTTGTTAAATGCCTTACTGAAATCCAAGTATTCTATGTCCACAGCATTTTGCTGGTCCACTAATTTAATTGCTTTGTCAAACAATGAAATAAAATTTGTTTGGCATGATCTGTTTTTGACAAACCTATGTAGGGTTCTGATTATAACTTTGCTTGTTTCTAGACATTTGCAGATATGTTGCTCGATTATATTTTCCAGGGCCTTCCCAGGTATTAATGTCAGGCTACTGATTTTCTAAATGAAGATGTTCTCAGTCACAATTTGAGTGGCAAACCAGTAGGATAATTATTTTCTGAACATGGACCAAAGAGGAAGAGAGAAGAAAAAGCTGCTCTTGAAAAAATTCTAGGTCTTGGACCCAGAAGCTGATCTGTCATACTACTACTTGTTTTTCTTGATCTTTTTTTCTTGATTCTAGTTTTCCTTATTTTGTTTTTATGGGTGTTTCAAAATGAAAATTCCTTTCCACAGGTGAAAACCAAAATCTCTTTGGTATGTCCACAGTATATCTCTACCATTGATAATCCAACCTGACCAGTTTTGTGTATTGGAATTTGGGGAAGTGGGTTTTATGTTCCCACAAATCATCTTGAGAAATCAGCAGGCAGAGCTAAGAGTTTGCAATAGTGGTGAATATCTGTATCTCGGGTGTAGGATGAAGGCGGAGTTTGTGGGTTGGTTTCCGAACATTTTATTACCAGGCTAGGTAACATCTTCAGAGGAGTTTAGGGGATGTCAGTATCAGTGTTCTGTTTATAAGGGCTTCAGGAGTGTCAAGTGAGGGTCCTGTGATGGGTCAGGTGTGAGTCATCGGTGAGAGGCTTGTGATGGGTCTTATGATGGAGAGGTTACATCAGGTCAGGGCCATTGAGAGGTGAACTGCTGGTGGGAGGGGAAGGGGGCCTTGCATGGGTTGGTTGAAGGTCAGTGCCGTCTCTGCCAAACTCTACCAGGAATTAGGCAGAACCAAAGACAAGATGCAGAAGGATGAAAGATACAATGTAATCTACAAAATAAACTGTAACAACTGCAACCAATTCTACATGGAACAAACATCATGTCAATTAAAAACCAGGATCCATGAACATTGGCTGGCAAGTAAATGCCATTATCCCTAATCCTTAATCTCTATCCACAGTGACACCAAACAACACCACTTCAATTGGAGCAACACTAAAAATCATCGGCCACGCTACCACCCACCATGCTGGTGAGTTTATTGAAGCCTGGCACTCCACAAGCAATTTCATCAACAGACACAACCAGCCTACAAACCCCTCAGAATCCAAATCAACCGCACAGCCAGCCAGAGACAGCACCGACCCTCAACCAACCCATGCAAGACCCCTCTCTCCTCCCATTTCATCTCCCATTGACCTTGACCTGATGTAACCTCTCCATTACAAGACCCATCACAACCCCCTCACTAATGACTCACACCTGAACCATCACAAGACTCTCACTTGACACACCCACCCCTGAAGCCCTTATAAACAGAACACTGACACTGACATCCCCTAAACTCCACAGAAGATGTTGCTTAGCCTGGTAATGAAACATTCGGAAATCAACCCACAAGCTTGGAGAATGATCCTTCACCCCCAGAGCTAAAAGTCACAAAGAGTGCTGTGTTCCAGAATACTTTCTGGGAAAGTTCCTGCAGCTGTCTATGTTTGGTGGAATCACAATTAATTGTTTATCAAATGAACTCCATAGCATTACAATTCATTACTTGTTCAGGTCTAGTGTCAGTGGGTGCACTCTTCTCTTTGCAAAGTACCTCTCCCTTCTCTTTCATGAGAGGGTTTGCAGATCTCTTAATCTCTCTATCAATTCTTGAAAGGCTAAGATTCATGTCATTACTGTCTCTTCAGCTGCTGGAAGATTTCATACAACAGCATGTTCTGAATATGTAGATGTCAAGATACTAGAAAGGAATCCGGGAAGTTATAGGGTTGGAGTTACAGAATTATCACGTTATGAAGCATTCTTCAAAAGTAACCCTTTGTGCAATAAAACTGTTATTTTTAGTTTAGGTCCATCCAACCAAAAGATAGACATGTTGTAAGTATGTCTTCTTCTCTTCCCATCATAGCATGCATTCAGTCAGTGTCTAACATCCTTTTCATTAGATTATGGATAGTTCACAATGAGTCAGAATAATGCTTTGGAACTTTCATGATCACAAGCTTCTCTTTGTTGGTTATTAAAGCAGCCATGTTTTTTTCCAAGTTTCTAAATAACTCTAGCATATATGGTATTAATAATATGGTTGACATTAAAAGAATGCTGTTTTAATGAGTCCACTCATTAAAGTTGCTGGATCTTTTTTTCCCCAACTTGTTTAATAGTTTGAAATAAAATGTGGCTGTCTTAATGACTAACAAAACTTGAAAGTAGTTCTTCCAAAATATTTATTACTTACCTATTTCCCTCCCTTCCCTTCCTATTTCCATAGTTATTCTTAGGGTGGAAAAATATCACGAAGGGAGCTTTTTTCAAGGATATTTTTTAATGAGCCAGAGTTATCTTATAAACTATAAATTCTTCCAAATATGCCACATTGTAATGGCCAGCTAACAAGCCTTGGAAATGGATCTTGCCATATAAGGTATCTTATTTATAGTACTTAATTATTTGACAATTAGGCCATATTAGAATACAAAATATTATAGAGCAATAAAACCATTAACTAGAAAATATTGTAAAATACATAAATAAAAGAAAATGCAAATCTTAATTTCTCTGTCACCCCTACAATTTACCCCATAGCTTCCAATCTAAGCTGTTCTCAATTGTACTGTTTTGTTTAGGTAAAAGGTCTTCTTGAAATAGGCCCTCCCAGAAGGGTGTGGTGCCTGTTCTCTCCGCATTTATGGCACATGCAGCTGTAGGCAGGGTCATCTGAAAACAAGCATGCAAGAGTACACAGCTGGGTCTTCAAAATTCTTTTCTGCTCTGTAATATCTGGCTATAAAAGTCAACCTGAATCCTTCTCTAATGGATGACCCGAGATTGAAGTAATTGAATACATAGACTATCAGAAACTCTGGTAGTCAAATGTTATCAAGAAGACAATACGGGAAGTCCTCTCTCTGGCCAAGACCTGGAATAGAGAAGCTAGAGGTGCAGAAAACCATGGTTATGCTCGGGCCAAGATAGCTGCACGTGAGGTGGTATATTGCTTTACAGAACTTTGATCCTCCAAGGTGGATCATCAGCATTTTATGCTAGAGATGAACAAAACATGAAATATTTTAAAGGATGCACAAACATGAGGAAAGGACCAGTTCTTGGCCACTTGAGAAAATACAGTATACACCTGGAAAATAGATATTCAGTTTACACTTAAACATTTCTACTGAAGAACCTTTTATTAAACAGTTCTAATTAGGAAATATCTCATGTTTAGACTTAGAGTTCTACTTTTCTACTCGTCTACTTTCCAGAAATTTCGATCTCTTCATCTGCCTCTCAGACGAAGAGAGTGTATGAAACAAAGCAAAAGTTGCATAGAATTAATATTGTGTGGCCCCACATTTTGCCTTTTGACTCTTGTGTAAATGTAATCTCACCCAATCTCAATGGCATTGCATTCAAGGCATGGAAACCTTCAACATTTTTCTGAAAAGAGTCAAGCAGACCGTTTGAGCGCCAAACGCTTGACTTTGCACAACAGACCTTCCTTTCACTGAGAGCAGCTTCTTGGTCTTGTGGCTCATTCACCCTGCCGTGCCTGAAGGAAGGAGAGTGTTTCCTCTGACTTTCACTTAAAGCAAACGGCAGGGTAACATCCTTTCCCCTTTCTTCAGCTTTATACATTAATCAAGTCTAACATGAAAGAAAGAAAACGTACTCATTGAAGACCAAATCTGGAGCAAAATAAAGCATCCGGGAATTCACATTGGTGAAGGACCTCCATCCCATGGCAAAAATCATCAAGCCCATCCAGGAGTACTGAATGATGGCCATCTGGTCATCTACATGCAGGTTACGGAACCCTGGGGAAAAAAGTCAGAAAGATGGCGTCAGGAAAGCTCTTCCTTCAGGTCAAGGAGCAGCTGGGTCTTGGGCTGGGCTCCAGGCTGCTGGCACCTCGAGACTAGCCCTTTCTCTAGCAGCCGTTGCAGCCTGCCCTGGGACATTTTAAATGTGGCAGCTAGAAGGGAGGGAAGGGAAAGTCATATACAAAATGAACCACTTTCTTACTGACGGTTTGCCTGTTGTTATTACAGTTCAAGCTATTTTTCTCTTTATACTGCAGGGATCAGCAAAAAAACAAAGGACTTATAATTAGAGATGAAATTAGAAAGAAAATAAACTAAAGGGTCACACCATAAACTATTTGGATTCCAAGTTTCATGCAGTCTGTATATATACTGTATATATACTGTATGTATAACTTCATGTGAGGAGAGAGACATTAAGTCAAAGATCCGCCAGGATGCCTTGATAAAACCCAGAATTTTCTCAAGTAGAATTATGAGAAGTCCATGTAATTTGATGCCACATAGTGTGGGTCACACTTCAGCCCCCCCAAACAGATTATATTTTAAATTTTAAAATTATATTTGTAATCTCACTGGTATTTCCCTCTTCATTCTAAAAGCATCTCTTAACCCTTTATAATTATTAAAAAATATGCCTAAAGCATTTAATCCATTATTATATTTGCTCCACTTAAAACTTCTCATCAGCTAGATTTGCAGACTGACAGGAAACCAAGCATTTTTGTTGCCACGGCTAACACGAGCCTTTGTTTCATTCCTCTTCTTGGCATCTGGAGGGTGGCGAATGCGCTGAAATGAGGGATCGCAGAGAAAGAGAACTCTCAATAAAGCTAAAATTAGAAACTACCTACGTCTTATTCTTACTTTCTACATCCTTCCAAGGTGATTTACAATATAGGTAATATTTAATACACATAAGAAAAATAATTTAAAATAAACCAATTAAAATGCAATTTAATTTCATGCATCATGGGTTCATAATATCCTAGAACTGGAAGGTAATCGACAGAGATAATTTAATCCAACCCGCTACTCACTAAAAAAAATAATGTTTTATGGTTTCCATTTTCCAAGCAAACAAAGGCCAAATGTCCAGGTAAAATGTATGAGGTGGGGGAACTGAACTTTCTAAGTTTCATGTTTACATATCACATGGCTATAATGGTAGACATTCAATTTTCATGAGCTTGCATAGATTTTGTTAGAAATTGAATTTACTGCAGCCTCCAGTAAATTGTGCATGTGGTGTGAAAGTGAAAATGCTGGGAACTGATGGGGGGGGGATGGAACTCATGGAAGGCAGAGAGGCCTTAATTATTATGGTTCATTACACAGTCAGCCAGATGTTCAGACTGGATTTGGCATTTTTGTCTTACCTACTGAGTTCTTTCCAAGGACTTGGGATAGGCAGATCTTGATGTTTGATGGTGTTACAGATATCGTCGCAGGATGGAAGCTGTTCCCAGTAAAGCCGCCTTTTGCAACTGACTGATAGCAAATTTGTCAATGCCAAAGGTGTTCAAGTGATGCTCCAGTTGTTTTGGAGCCTCCAGCCTATTGGTATTACCCTTGCTTGCCACAGCTGTTCTATTTCTATTTGTAGATCTTTGTCAAGAGTGATTCACTTTTCACCTAGTTTCTTCACTGCTCTCAATTTGACAATAGGGGGTTGAACTGTCTGGGGGGAAATGCCAAGAATCCGTCTGCAGATTGTGAGGCCGTGTTCCACCCTTCAAGGACATGCTGTGCAGGTGTTTGAACAATCCAGACAGTTCCTATAACAAATGGAGCATAGGTGATTGCACAATGCAATGGACTAAGGGGAGTGGCCAAAGGGGGAATTCATGTTTAATTATACAGATCTTTGAGTGGGAAATTCAGAGTTGGTTTTGCTTCTTTTGTACCAATGTAGTGTATTCAATAAGTATTACTTTTGGAAAGAACAATATCCCAGGAGTTCCTTTCTTGGATTCTCTAGCTGGACATCTGACAATTTTGTTATCTTCTTCAATTCTTTCTCTTCTATTCTGCTGTCTCCAGGCACTGCCACATCCACGATCTAGACTTTTTTTTTATCCTTCTTATTGAAAATTGTTGAGTCTGAGGTGTTATGTGATAGATGCCTGTCTATTTGAATTCTACAGTCCCAGAACAATTTAACTTTCATTTTCTATGACTTTGTCTACTTTTTGGTTCCACCAGTTCTTGCTTGCAGGCAAATGATATTTCTTGCAGATCTTTCAATGCATCATTGTTGCTCCTTTGTTATGCTGTTGTTTGTAGTCAGTTTGGGGGATATTTTTGCAGCAGCTAACCAGGTGGTTTACTGTTTCTTCAGTTTCAATGCATTTTCTTCAGTGCCCTATTCTTCCCACCCACCCCTTTCTTCCTCAACCACCTGATATACTTGTAACATTCCCGCCCACCTGTTTTTCTTAGTAGGTAGAGTCTGCCAACATTGCCTTTTTTATTTTTCTGGTCTTCCTATCCATTATTTTTAGCTCTGCTTAAGTCCAGTCCACTATTCCAGTGATGTATCTAATGATTGGAATTGCACAGATGTTGATTGCCTTGATGGTATTTCCTTCACTGAGTTTGGATTTCAAGATCTTCTTCACTCTTAAATTGGCAATTTCTGTTAAGACTGGTTGAAGAAATGGACTTTGGAGATAAAATCTTACAGGCTTTTCGAGGTATTTATCAAAGACAATCAGCACAACTTATAGTTAATGGAGGTTTATCTGAGGTATTTCAAATTGAAAAGGGGACTAGACAGGGTTGCCCATTGTCTCCTTTGTTGTTTGTTTTAACGTTGGAAATTTTGTTGATTAAAATTTGTGAATCACCCAAAATAAAGGGAATAGAGATTAATAAGAATGATTATAAACTAAGGGCTTTTGCAGATGACTTGATTGTTACTTTGTCTCAACCAACTCATTCTGTAGTGGAGTTGTTACAATTGATAAATCAATTTGGACAAGTTTCCGGTTTTAAAGTTAATAATAATAAAATTAAAATATTACCAAAAAATATGACTAGGACATATTGGTTAGATACCTTGGTTAGATTGACAGGTTTCGAAGTTGTAAAAAAGGTTAAATATTTGGGGGTATTTTTATCAGCTTCTAATGTAAAATTGTATAAAAATAATTATGAAAAGTTGTGGTTTAAAATACAGAAGGATTTGAATGATTAGAAAAAATTGCAATTATCATTGTTGGGGAGAATTGCTGCGGTTAAAATGAATGTTTTGCCAAAGTTTCTTTTTTTGTTTCAAATGATACCTATTTTAAAGAAAGAGGTAAATCTAGAAGATTGGCAGAAAGGTATTAATAAATTTATCTGGGTGGGGAAAAAACCAAGAGTAAAACTTAAAATTATACAAGATGTTCGAGAGAGAGGTGGACTCAAGGTACCGAATTTGAAACTGTATTATGATGCGGTGGTTTTAACACTGATTAGTGATTGGATTAATTTAACAAATGTAAATATACTCCTTTTGGAGGGATGGGATTTATTATATGGATGGCATGCCTATTTAATATATAATAAAAAGGTGGATAGAGTTTTTAAGTCTCATATTTTAAGAATTTCTTTATTGCGAGTTTGGAAGAAATATTACAGAACAGATTCTAGAATCCCATTGTGGGCAATTCCAGGTCATGCAATAGAAAGAATAAGAAAAGGAGTGAAGATGGACAGTATTTCTTATAAACAATTACTTAATTGGAATGGGAAAAACTGGCAATTAAAATCTATGGATGAATTATTACAAGAAAATATTAATTATTCTTGGTTTCAGTATAGACAATTATTAGAAAGGTGGAGGATAGATCCAAAAATGGGTTTGATCAGGGAGGATGTGAATTTGTTGAAACAAATTAAAGACCAAAGTCGAACTCATATAAAAAGAATTTATGGTGTTTTAGTGCAGTGATTCTCAACCTTTCTAATGCCGTGACCCCATAATACAGTTCCCCATGTTGTGGTGACCCTCAACTGGGTGTGGCCACCAATAAGAGGGAGTAGGACAGCTAGGGAAAAGGGAAAAAAATGGCGGACAGCATGGTTTGGCGACCCCCGTGAAATGATCATTCGACCCCAAATGGGGTCCCGACCCACAGGTTGAGAACCACTGTTTTAGTGGAATTGGATTCAGAAACAGAATTACTTAAAGATTGTATGGTTAAATGGGCTCAAAATTTTGAAGAGCCGATTTTATTAGATACATGGGAGATAATTTGGGTGAGGAATGTTAAATTTACGCAAGCTCAAAATTTACGAGAAAATTTTTATAAAATGTTTTATAGGTGGCACCTTGATCCACAAAAGATGTCTCGTATGTATCCAAATCTGCAGCCTAAATGTTGGAGATGTGGTTGTTTGGATGCAACGTATTATCATATTTGGTGGTCATGTAAAAATATAAAGGCTTTTTGGATTAAGATTTGGTGGAATATTCAAAAAAATTTTAATAGAAGGATAAAATTTACACCACAATTGTTTTTGTTAGGCATTATTGTTGATTGTGATGATAAAGAAATTATTTTAATGTTGAATTTAATTACAGCGGCAAGGCTGCTGATAGGGCAATACTGGAAGAAGGAGTTTTTGCCTACTTTAGAGGAATGGTTTCTTAAAGTTTCTTATTTATCTGAAATGGCAAAAATTTCGGCTTATTTGAAAGATCAATCGCAAGAGAAATATTTTTTGGTATGGAAAAGATGGGTGAATTTTATACAGCACAAATATGAGATTAAACAGTATTATTTAGCTTTTGAATATTTATGTTTAAGGTAATGATTAGAACTATTGTTCATACATGTTCTTTCTGGCAATATTCTCAACAGTTCTATATTTTTTTTAAAAATGCCCTGAGAACTCTTCTGTAAATTAATCTAGCATCAGAGGATGTATAATGACTCCCTGAATTGCTATTGTAATTAAAGGCAAATTCCATATTGGAAATCACTACAAAGAAAGACAGAAAT